TCATATTCTATTTAAAAACAAATTACTGACATAAAATATGTTACATAAGATTTAGCATGTTTTACTTCACTTACTGGTTGATGTATCAATACCAAATCAAAAATAAAAGTTTATTCAATTTTTTAATGGTGATGTTAACTCTTAATTAATTTCAATGAATTAATTTAATTTTGATTTAATTTCACTACTGAGCATTTGACTAAAAATTTAAACATATCATATCAAAGCTAACCTTTATGAAATAAAAATTATTTTAAGTAATATAGAGAGAGATGGCATTTTCTAGGGAGTTGGATGGTCATTCACGATTTGAAAAAATGTCGATAAAAAATCTCCAGCTTTGAGACCCAAACTCCAGCTGAAAAATTTGAAATCTCCAGTTGTGATTGTTCAGTTCTGTCACATGTATGTTATTAAAGCATATACTTGACAGCAATCTATAACAAATATAATGTATGTTAGAGAAATCCTACCTCTCCCTTGAGTGTAATTATCAAGCACTGGTCAAGAAGAATTTTGATAACAGAAAATTGCATGTCAAATTAGAGAGAAATTAATGGGCTTTGAGTGCGAGGAGCTAACTGCCAGAGCATTGGTGTTATCTGTCCCTTGAGTATTGGGCAAATGGGTAAGCCTGTTTGATTAAAAATAGGCTATAGCTCTTGTTGACCAGCTTAATTTGATGAAAAGTAATTAAAACTAATTTGATATTGCATTGTAGACTAATCTGATATTATGTAATATTATTTATTTAAAAACTAATTTTATGGGGTGGGGTGGAATCAGCATGTCCATATGAATTACATATTAAAACCTGTTGGAAATTAAATCTCAACCAAAAAAAAATCTTCGAGTATTTTATATGTTTTTAAACAAAATTTATAGTAGATAGTGCAGACCCATTCATCTCTTGGTAGTAATGAGTAGACAAGCATCCAGTTAAAGATTAATTAATGAGTTCAATGTAGGAAGGCTAGCTGTCTCTTATCTGTACCCTTTGGGGATTAGACAGAAGAACTGCTGGTCAGTTTATAACATATGTCATTTGATGGCCAGCCTTTTTTTTTTCACAATTAATTTGGTATAGATTAAGTTGTTAAGACTAATTTGATGATGGGCATTTAACAAGGTCTAACACAACCAGCACAGAAATCTATCAGTTAAATAATATTTATTATAATTGATGCCTACATCTCCTTCGCATCATACTTACCTGTTAGAGTTAACAATAGCTACTCATTCCCGGAATTTGTTACCACCGCCGAGTCAAATTTTATACACTCCCCAAACCCAAGCAGCGCCACCTACTTCCGCGCATGCTCATCTTCATTCTCGGCGCCATTAAAGAAAGTTGTTACCGAAATCGTGAAGAATTTTTTCGATCGCGGCAGTGTTTCTTTTATGTTTCTACATGATGGGTAAAGATAAAGAAAAACATGTGTCTAAAGGCTCTAAGGAGTCGGGGGAAGCTATTTCGCCAATGAAAGAGGCGAATGATACCAGAGTTCTTGGTAAGGAACAACAACCTCGTGGTTCTGGTAAGAGCCACACTACTAAGAATCCTGGTAAGGATTCTAAAAATGAAAAGACCTCATCGTCTCAACGACAATTTATTCCCCTTGTTCCTGATTTCTCGGAGCCGGTAAACTCCGACATCGTACCTGAGGTAAATTCTTCAGCGTATTTATCTAGACGTGAAGTCGATGCGATGTTTGAAAGTCTTCATGTAGGCCACTGCACCAATTGCCTTCTGTGACTCATCGGCAAATATGTGTAGTTCTCTGTGCAAGACCTCCTCACTATTGATGTAAGCATAAGCCCTTGGTATTGCTATGTCCTCTAATGCTGGCAATCAGTCTCGCCACTCACACCACAGAGAGTACTGGTCCTCAGGGAGTGGGTCATCCCAGTCTAATTTCTCGGCCATCAAGGCAAGGTAGTATCATTTTCCCTTTGACTATTACAGGTGCAAGGAATCCAATTGGGTCATAAAGGCTGTTGATGGTTGCAAGTACTCCCCTTTTTGTATAAGGGTGAAGAGTACGCAAGACTTGAAATGTAAACATGTCTGTGGAGACATTCCAGCTCACACCAAGGGTCCGTTGAAGGGGTGTTTCATCTAAATCTAGGTTCAGGTCCTTGAGTTCTTTGGCTAAGTCATTGTTTGGAAATGAGGCGCATACCTTCGAATCATTGGAAGCCAGTTTATGCAACCTGATGTTCCCTTCCTCCATAAGAATTTTCTGCGTTTTCGCAGCCCATCGTCGACGTAAAAGTTTCTACTCACAAATTGTCTGACATCCTCATCGGCATTTCTTACAGTTCTGCGAAGTCCCAAAGTAGCTACTGCTGGGGATGCACTATTCCCGAAGACATGTCTCTTCATCCTGTACTCTGTAAGTTCTTTCTCTACATCATTGTCTTTGTGCCAAAAGAATCGTAAATAGTTTCGGTGACATGCTGGAACTGAGAAGCGGTAAAACATCTGTTCTGCATCTGCTGTCACTGCTACCTGGAACTGGCGAAACCTTAGCAGGATTCCAAGAAGGCTGTTTACCAAGTCTGGTCCGGTCAAGAGAACACTGTTGAGACTGAGTCCTTGAATCTGTGCAGATGAATCAAACACACATCTGACGCTTCCTTTCTTGGGGTGGTAAACTGCGAAAAGCGGCAGGTACCAATGTTCCTCCTCTGGAGAAGAAAGTGGTGGTGCAATCTCAGCATGGCCATTATCCAGGAGTTTCCTCATGAATTCCATGACATGCTGTTTTTTGTCAGGGTCCTTCTGAAGTCCTCTGGTGAGTAGATTTGCCCTGTGAAGTGCGTGAATTCTATTGCTCGGAAGGAGGGGTCGGTTTTCTCTAAATGGAAGTGGTGCACTCCAACATCCTTCAGAATCTCTTTCAAAACCTTGCTCCATGATGTCAATGAACTTCTTATCCTCTACGGAGAGGCCTGGTGAGTCGTCATGCTTTGTCTTAGCGAATATGTCGGCTTCCTTAAGTTGAAATGAATTTTCGCAAGTATCCATGAGAGACATACGCCCATTTGTCCTAGTATATGTCTTACACACTGACAAAGATTCCTGAGAATTTGAAGCCCCGTAGCATACCTCACCGATCACTACCCACCCTAGGTGCAGTCCCATGTAAGGGGCACAGTTGTGTGTGTTCTGTCTTGTCCATGGGCCTTGAACCATTCGTGTCAGTTTTCCTTGTGGCAACAGATGAAGCACCTGTAGGGTACTGTGGCTTTCCTCAACTTCCGTCCTGAACAACTTTGGCGTTCTCGATCACATTGTCATAGTAAAAGGATGGGTCATTTTTCATTTGTGCCGTGTCACGGAGAAATTTACAGAAAACATGGAAGGGTGGAAAAGTCATGTAGTGATTTTCTTTGAAGCTGTTTGCATGCCTGGTCCACTTCTCTTGGATTTGGTAAGTGAGTTTTGACACAATGGGGTTCACTCCACTTGACGAGTCAAAGTATGCGAAAAGCGAAGAGAGGTGTGGAATTTCCTTTGCTGCTTCTATTTCTGACACAATGTCTACGAGGTCATATAACCGCTTGTTGTCTTTAATACTGAGTTTCGGGAAGGCTGAAAGTTTGTTTTTCAGTGCCGCTTCGATCATCTCAGGTCTACCATACCTGTCCTCCAAGCGTTCCCGTAGTCGGGCTAAAGCGACATCAGGATTCACACTGGCGGTCCTTATGCTTTGTGCATATCTCGCTGATTCTGGTCCCAACCACTTATTCAATAGTTCTAACTCTTCCAAGGATGTTAAGTTCAGTTCACTCACAATGTTTTTAAAACTTGTTTTCCATCCTGTGAAGTACTTCATTAATATGTCCATTGTTGCTCGAGTCTTGTTTTGGAACACATGCTGGTGCCATAGGAGACAGTGTAATGTTATTTGGTACGACACTTTGTTCCTTTTTCTCCAATCCAGTCTTCAGCTCCGACTGCTGCTGTACAAACTCTTCAACTCTCTCTTGAGCAACTTTCTGAAGGTTTTGGTATTCTTTATCTGTAAAATTCTCATCTGATTCTTCATCTAAATAATCTAGACTGTTCATTTCAATCTGTGCCTCCTCCATCTCTCTTTTGCACTATAGAATTTTAAGGTCATGGTCAAGTATGGCTTTTTGTTTCTCCATCTCAAATTCTTGTTGCGGAAATTTTTCCCGCACTTTTGCCGCTTCTAATTTGGCCCGGTGTCTGGCTAGCTCTGAAGCTATGGAGGAAGACCTTCTCCCTGAAGACATGGCTGTAGGAGGACTTATCTGGCTGATGTTTGTCGCTGAACTTTCCATTCAATCAATCACTAGCTCGGCTATGAATTTTTCACTGTGCAATGTTGAATGAGTTTATTGCATCCAAACCCCCGGAGAGGGTGAAAAACTACAAACAAACAATACAAAAATGTAAGCAATATGTTGATATAAAACATACATAATAAAAATATGACTAGAGCGGGTTTCCATAGTTTTGAATTTTTAACAGATTTCAAGGAGGAGCTGTTCTAACGAAATTATTTCCATAAGATAATAGACAGACATCAACATAGTTTATCCCTAGCATGTTTACAGATGTATTAAAAATGGAATAATCAATCAACTGTTGCAATCAATTTTAACGATTAAAACAAAGACAGGTAAAAAACGCACCAAGTGCGCCTCGACTCAATATGACATTAAAAAAATTACATATGACTAGATAATGAATATTATGCATTGCCTACACATAATAGTAAATGAAAAATCACAAAACTTACTTCATAGGGGGCTTTAAATGCAGTAAATAAGCTAGGTTCTGGAACCCACGAGGTTGGCACTGATGCCTTAGATCGTTTCCGGTTTACAATAAAAATAAAGTAAAAACCAACAAATCCGGAAAGAATAATTCCGGGGCACTACAGTGATACACCTTGTTACATGGTGTCCACGATCGCTGACATCAAGGATGCCGACATCGAGTTCGAGGTTCACGGTGCCACGTGTTTTGCGGGAAAAACCCGTGGTCTGTACTGTACCTTTGATTACAAACACAATGAGTTGATCTACTTTATAGCATATAAGGAAGCGTCTCAAACTCTGTCTTGTTGTTTTGAAGTTGTTTATTTCGAGTAATTTCCTTTATTTTCACAGTTGAAAGCCCAGATGCGTGATACTTGATAATGGTGTTTCGAACAGCCAGACACAACTCCCTCCTCCTTTCACAGGTGCTTTTGCGAAAAATAAGCCAAAATGACTTATTTGGTCATTGAACAGTTCAAAAATAATTGGGGGCGTGGTTTGCATAATTAACCAAAGAACAGTACGGTTCGTTTCTTGCACGGAACGGTACGCTTTGTGAACGGTACAGTACGCTTTGAGCACGGAACGGTACGCTTTGTGGATGGTACGGTACGCTTTGTGTATGGAACGGTACGGTTCGTTTCTGAGGTGTAGTAGCACGGTTTAGGGTCTGTAAGAACATAGTTATGATGACCAAGAGTGTCTCTTCAATAACTGTGAACTTCATGGCCCTTGGTATCAACATATATCAGATGAAAAAAAATCTTAAAGAATCTATGTGACTATTCCCTGATTTTGACCTTTTTTGCTTTGTCTTCTGTAGCCTCCAAAGTGAGAAGGTATACTACCTACAGAAGAACCCCAATCAGCTCCTGGACATGCTGGGGAAGCTGTTTGCATTTTCTTTCATCTGGAGTATTGGAGGTATGTTCAAGCTCCAGGAGGATGCTGATGATTACGACATGATCAGGCGGGGCCAGGACAAGGGGGAGAGGGATGCCAATATCTGTAATGAGTGTGATAACTTCATGCATGAGTTATTTGAAGTGGAACCACCACTTGGTAAGCAATATATTTCATTTCAAAAATGAATACGAGGGTCATTCAAAAAGTTCGTAGACTTTTGTCATAACTTTTTATGCCCCCCTTCGAAGAAGGGAGGGCATATTGCTTTCCCTGTCTGTCTGTCGGTCCATTTAGTTTCCGTTAATTTTTTTCATAACTGGTGCACATACTAAAATGAAATTTGGTATACAGGTATATCACATGAATATCTAGGTCAAGTTCTGTTTTGGATACGATCGCACCATAATTGACAGAGATATGCCTCTTGGACTTAGAAAAATTCCAATCATTTGCAGTTTCCGCTCATTTTCTTTAGAGAGGTTGCACATATTGAAATGGAATTTAGTATACAGATTAGTCAGATGAATATCTAGGTCAAGTTCTGTTTTGGGTACGACCGCACCATAATTGACAGAGTTATGCCCCTTGGACTAAGAAAAATTCCAATTATTTGCAGTTTCCATTCATTTTCTTTGGAGAGGTTGCACATATTGAAATGTAATTTAGTATGTATACAGATTAGTCAGATGAATATCTTGGTCAAGCTCTGTTTTGGGTACGACCGCACCATAATTGACAGAGTTATGCCCCTTGGACTTAGAAAAATTCCATATTTTTGCAGTTTTCATTCATTTTCTTTGGATAGGTTGCACATATTGAAATGGAATTTAGTATACAGATTAGTCAGATGAATATCTTGGTCAAGCTATGTTTTGGGTATGATTACATCATTTTTGACAGAGTTATGCCCTTTTGGATGTAGAAAAATTCCAATTTGTGGGGGAGGGGGGCATAAGTGTTTTGCAAACATCTCTTGTGAGTATTATTAGGGCCCCGCTTGGCAGGCGCCCTATAGTGATCAGTTTGTCCGTCCGTCAGGCCGTCCGTCCGTCGTTCGAGATCTCTTGTCCGGAGCATATCTTCTCTCTCCTTGGTCCAATCTGGCTCATACTTCACCCACAGAGTGCCTTTGGGTAACCGGTGTGCAGTGACCTTGAACCAGGTTTCTAGGTCAAAGGTCAAGGTCATAGCAGAATTTTATGAAAAACCCTTGTCCGGAGCATATCTTCTCTCTTCTTGGCCCAATCTTGCTCATACTTCACCCACAGAGTGCCTTTGGGTAACTGGTGTGCAGTGACCTTGAACCATGTTTCTAGGTCAAAGGTCAGGGCCATAGCAGAATTTTCTGAAAAATCTTTGTCTTGAGCATTTTTTCTCTCTCCTTAGCCCCATCTGTCTCATACTTCACTCACAGAGTGCCTTTGGGTAGCTGGTGTGCAGTGACCTTGAACCATGTTTCTAGGTCAAAGGTCGAGGTCATAGCAGAATTTTATGAACTATCCTTGTCAGGAGCATATCTTCTCTCTCCTTGGCCCAATTTCGATATTACTTCACTCACAGAGTTCCACTGGTCAATGGATGTGCAGTGAGATTGGTCAAAGTTTCAAGGGCATGGTCAGAATTAGCCTCTCTGTTTAAAAATCTTTGTTTGGCGCATAATTTTTTCTCTTTAATTCCAGTAAATTTATATAACTGGGGATACAAGATAACTTCGATATATATCTGTACCTAGCAATATCTGTGAAGTCGTACTAAATTACTCTAACTGTATTACACAAATGTTCCTCTTCAAAATAAACCCTTTTAAACAACCTTACATTTTCATGTTCATTGTTGAAAGCGGGGCCCTTTGAGATGGCACCATCTCAATGATATCTAGTTTTATTTAACGTCATATTATTATCAAATTTAGTACACATATTTTAACAATAAATCCAAATAATTTGAGACAAAAAATTGTAAAAATATCTTGAAAATTATCAAAATTATCAAAGATTTAAGACAGAAAAATGGGGTCACGGAGCAGGGTCTAAATTGACCTATTTTCTAATTATACACTTGATAATGTTGGGAGTCATACCTCTAATAAATGGCTCTTAAATGAAATAAATTTGAAATGTTTAAATTTAGAAGTGTTCAATTACTTTAGATGCTAAAATTTAATGTAATTCATCGCTTCGTTTAAAAGATTTCAATCTTTAAAGGCAGAAAGACTTCATAAAAAAAAGCAAAAAAACGATGACGTCGAAGGACGTCACGGAGCAGCGAGTACCGATAAAATTTTGTTTTCCATTCGGGAAACCTTTAAAATGAACTCTGAGAATGCTTGGTGAACCAGGAAATAGATACAAAATGTGCTATGCATTTGTTTATAATGGGCATATTTCATGACTTTTTTTGAAGCGTTGTAGTTCATATACCTCATGAATCTTCAAAAAATTAAATTCATTTCTTATATTTACATTATTTTACTGATGACTTGCCATACATTTACGCCGTTCAACTGTCATTTTTAAAACAAAACAGTGTGCACTATATTCTTTGACAGCGGTATTATGATTAACAAAAATATCGTGATACAAAATGTAGTTCATGAGAAAATATATGCATTTTATTTTGGATGACTATTTTTTGAGTGTTAGAGTCTTGAAATCGGACCATGAACGGTCTGCGAAAAAACATATTATATTATAAAAAATATCTTTCAAAGAGTTAGTAACGTCATCAAATGTGATGTGCGATTCACTTTTGCGGAAGCTGTGCAAACATGAGTTACGCTATTAAGCTTTGAAAACATTGACAATTTAACTTAAGGTACTCAAACTATTGTTAGCGAACTAGGTGTAAATGGCTATAGATTCATGAATTCAGAAGCAGCAACAAAACGTGGATGAAATGAAAAGGCAGAGTAATTTTAAGAAAATTTCTCGATGTTGTTTTTGACGTCACAGTGTTGTTAACCTTGCTCCATGGTGACAAAAAATGTTACTTTTAAAATTGTCTAACACGAGTTCCATTTTATCAAATGAAATGAAACTTTACACACTGATAAGATAAATGTTTTTACATATAAAAATGTGTTGATCTAAAATTTTGTAAGAATAATATGATGATGGAGGACACTGTCTACATATTTTTTGAATGACCCTCGTATGTGTTTCAGGGCTCTCTTTTTTTTATAAATAAAAGAAGTCAAAGATTTTCAATTCTCCTTCCTGTCTAGACTTCTGCTGCTGCACAAACATCCTGTGCTGCCTACAGGTGATTGCACATATAGAATTAAGTTTTATTTAATCTCTTTTAGAATGAAAGTCATGAGATTAGGTACAGTAATATGTCTTTATCAAATTTATACAATAGCTTTCAGTTTAAAGTATTTTTTTTTTAGTCCAAAGCATAAAATTTACAGATGTATTTTTAGCTCACCTCAACGAAGTTGGGGAGCTTATGTAATACCCTCGGTGTTGGCGTCAGTGTCCTAGGTTAGGACATATTAAAATTTTCCTAGATTCTCATCCCCGCCCGCCTCGATTTTATACCCCCGCCTCGATTTTTTTTATTTCTGTTTATCTTTGTCTTAATTCTGATCGGGATCGGTATTTATCTACCATTCTACTTTCATTTTAAATCAAGGAAAAGTCCGCATGATTTTGACAGCTGAAAAGATATTAATTCCTGTAATACATGCGTATATGTTTTAAACAAAGGTCATTGGTTGAAAAAGATTGGTGGTGATGTGAAGTACGAAGAGATAATTGAACCTTTCCTATGACTTTTATTCAGGTATTTTAGATAAAATTACACTTATTGACCAGGTCAATAAAAAAATCTGCAAAAATTGAAAAAATAAATATTGGGATAATTACAAGAAAAGCTTAGATAATTGTTAGGATATTCTATACTGGTGGGACTTAACTAAATATAAGATAAAAACATTGTGTATTGAGATGTCAAAAAAATTAAACGTTAATAAACAAAAACTTGAGAAATTAGAAAAAGAATTAGAAGAGATTAAAAACAAACCTACAACTAATAAAGAGTATCAAAATGACCTTGAGGCAAAAAATAAAGGAAATTTATATAGATAAGACAGAAGCGGCAATAATACGATTAAAATGTAGATGGTTCAAAGAAGGAGAAGCTCCTTCGAAATATTTCTTTCAATTAGAAAAGAGTAATGGAGAGAAAAAATTATGGAATAGAATAAAAACAGAAAACGGTACCTATAAAACTGACATTGATTCAATCATCGAAGAGCAAATTAATTTTTATTACAAATTATTTAATACGGAAGGATGGGATAGTGAAAGTGGGGAATTATTATTAGCGGAAGTGCAATGTAAATTAGACGATTATGATGTAAACATGCTTGATAGTGATATAAACGATAAAGAAATATATCAAGCAGTGATGTCATTAAAGCCAAATAAATCTCCCGGTGAAGATGGGATTTTATCAACTTTTTATCAGATATACTGGGATGTAATTAAAAATGAATTTTCAAAAGTTCTAAAACACATATTTCATAGGGCCACACTTTGTGACTCACAAACAAAAGGAGTAATTTCATTAATACATAAAGGGAATGAAAGAGAAGATATAAAAAACTGGAGACCATTAACAATGCTTAACAATGATTATAAAATTATTGCTAAAATACTCGCCGAGAGATTAAAAAAAGTACTACCAAAATTAATTCATCCAGACCAAAAAGGATTTGTTAAAGGCAGAAACATAAGTGATGCAAATAGACTGATTCAAGATATTATTGATTATGCTGATAATGAAGATTTAGAAGGAGCAATTATATTTCTAGATCAACAAAAAGCGTTCGATAGAATTGAATGGGGCTGGATAGCAGCAACATTAAAAAGATTTAACTTTGGTGAAAAATATTGCGATTGGATAAAAATGCTACTTATTAAATCAAAAACATGCATTAAAACTAATGGATTTGTATCTAAATATTTTCCAATATCAAGATCAGCAAGACAAGGTTGCCCTATAGCTCCATTACTTTATGTTCTTCAAATAGAGCCTATGGCCTGCGCAATTAGGCAAAATCCGCAAATAAAGGGCATTTTAATTCCTTATGAAGAACAACACATAGAATGTAAAATAAATATGTTCGCAGACGATACTCAGCTATTTAATAA